TAAACTTCTGTACGGAAACATATGTAACATAGTCCATGTTAACTGTTAAAACAAAAACATAAATCCATGTGAATCTTCAAATATAACCTGTAATAGATATTTAAGTATTCATTTTTGTACTGTCTACAATTTCATAAATATTTTAGCTTATTTATTATTAGCGTGCATCTAATTGTGGTGGATAAATAACTTATCTTTGGAAAGGCTATAAAAATAACACTCGTTTTTGCTGATGCTAATAGAAAAAATTTACTCTGACATTTGATGGGTAGTACAATTACTCTAGAGTAGAGAAAGGGGCAGTTTGACTGTATGGTGGTAGTGAAAGAGGAAGCTAATCTGAAATGTCACTGGGTTCAGTTTGAGAGCTAGTCATTTCCTGACAGATGAAACCATTTCTCAGAAAACACATTGTTAAAAGGAAAACAACTTTTGTGGCTGTAATTCTTACAAGAATTTGAAGGACATTCTTATCTGTCCTGTCAGTCTTCGGATTGTTCTTCTATAGTGTGATTTTAGTTTTATATCTCAGATTTACTGTTAGCACCTTCACAATTCTTAATTGTTAGAGCAGGAAGATGTCATGCTAAGAATAGGCATATTGCATTTCAGCTGTGCAGTCAGTGTTAGAAATTGATGGATCCTGTGGATGTAGAGTTTAACAATTTATACAAATTCTGATTTTTATGATTGATATTTATAGTTTACCATGATAAGCACTTTAGGAATAAGCTAAAAGATGCATCAGAAGATAACTAAAACAAAACATAACAGCTGATACAAATTCTGATTCAAAATTAGTGGCCTGATTTTTCAGAAGTGACTTTCACAAATTACAGTGAAATCAATTGGAGGATCTGTGGATGTTTGGAATATTTGGAAAATCATGCTGTACAAGTATAGCATGATATAATCAGAACTCTGTGCAGTAGTTATACTGAAATTATGGGCTAAACCCTGATTTATGCAACATGTCAGTATTGATTGTTACAGCAAGAGGTAATATGGTGCAAAGGGGGAAAACCACTCAGCCTTCCCTTTATTTTATCCAGTCTCTGAAACTTGTTAGCACTGTATTTTACAATATATTGGAGTTGGGAATGATCAGGAGCTGGGAATGATCAGGTTTGGATTTCATTGTGTGAGGGAGGAGGGTTTGTTGTCTGCAAGGGTGCCTCAGATTGGGCCATTTGGATGGTTCAGGGCTTTTTCACCCACATTTTCTTTTGAACTTTTTTTCTTTAATCCAGTAAATAGTATTTCATCCTCCTGGCTATTAATAGTGCCATGTTTAGGAAACAGGAATCGTGCTTGCTAAACTTTTATCAAAGGTTATTGAAAAGCCTTATTGTGCTTTCATTTCTGGAAACATAACTTTTTTTTCTTTTTTTCAAAAAAACCTCTTTCCCATTAATTGGTTGTAAGAACAGCAGCAGGTCAGGTAAGTCCTCCACTTGGCTGTTCAATACATGCAAACAATTTGATGTATATGAGAGTGGACAAAGAGGTGAAACATTAAATTCTGACCCCATCAAAAACAATGGTATTTAGTCATAGACTTCAGTATGCCAGGATTTCACCTAAAGTGAGTAACTGAAGAGGTTGCTAATTTCAGGCGTTGTTCTTCTGGGTATAGAAGCCTTCTTAGTAGGGGAACCAGCATAAGAAGCGTTTTTCAAGATTTCCACTTTTTGTTCTGATGGCACACTCTATCGTGGAAAATTTGTGTGTTTTAGAAATATTAGAAATCCTACATCATAGCTGTTTCTGTTGGCATGGCTAACAATAAATTTGTAGGTAAGTGGGGTTGTTTAAACTAAATTTAATCTGTAAAAGTTCTGTTATTTATATAATCAGTTCAAGTATTGAATGAATAATAACTGGAAATTGTTTACAAACGGGAAACATTATTACCGTTAACTCTCAAATTGGCTTGTTCAATTGATTTCAGTAGAGCAAGCCAGGACACACATGAGGTTTCTAGGTCCTAGTGTCTTCCAGGAACCTTCTTTTTGGTGGAAAGAATAGGATCAATGCATCCTTGTACTGTATGTATTCCTGTCCGGTGGATTACAGGCTAGTATTTATAGGATAGCACTTAAATTTTGGTATTGTTTCCCACTACCCCAACCCCAAGATTCTCTTCACCATGTTCTACAGAGAGGAATTTTAATTTTATTTATTGTCTGTCTTGTAGTGTTTTAAAAAGTAAGGCTGAATACCTTGTGTGCACACGTTACTGTGTGAAACCTCTTTGGGGTCTTTTATCTCCTATTTGGAAATGATACAGCAGTTGAAGAGTGATTAAACTGTTAACAGTACTTGCTGACATCATCTTTCCGAGAACACTAGCATCTGTATGAGTGATTTACTATAACAAGATCTTAAGTTTTTCCTGTTGGCAAATGACATGTAATATTTACAAAGATCTTGGTTTCTGTCCAGTAGAAATATTTCGGATAAAATAAAGCAATACAGGAAAGGAAAATCTGTTAACAATTTTATTTCCAGACAATATAATGTAAGGATACATATTTTGTGTAAAACATACATAGTATCTCTTTAAATCTGTAATGTACATGTGTCTTAGCCTCCATATGGAGGTATATAATTTTTTTTAAAAGTCTACCTACAGCTCCAGGTCCTTTTGCCACATACTAGAAATATTAATGCAAACATAGTTAAACCAGTAACTTTGCCAAAGCCAAGGAAGAGAACAAACCAAAATGGTCTCAACCATCAGTGCATTTCTCTCCCCAAGAGCCTGCAATGTGCTCTCAAGGGTCAATGGATGTAGGCTATTGCATAGAGGGAAAGGGGTGAGAAGCCCAATGCTTGGGGGCCCTTCATAAAATGTGTACCATGGGGTCAGGTCCCTCCTTTTTTCTCATTTAAAAAAAAATCCATCTGGAGGACATCAAAGTTACAAAATTAGGGTTCTGCATCAATCTTGACTCTCTTCTTGTATATTTTGGAAAGGCAGTAGTCTTTCCAGAGTTATGATTTCAGTCAGCTTCCTTTGTATAGCTTTATACTTTGGCTTGAAAAATGGGGTTTGGCTTGAAAATTGCCACATTAACTCTGAAGACAAAGGAGGATGTTTCTAAAAAATGTTGGGGGGGGGGATCAAATCGTTCTTGTTAAAGTTCTCTCAAAATCACTGTGGTTTGAAATATTTTACTTCTGTTTTATTCTTTGCTTACCCCTAGCTCATTTTCTATGTGATTAAATCTCTTTGAAAATGTATGCACTAGCTGTTTTAGAGAAATAGATTATACGTAGGCAAATTATTAAGGATTTGTTGTACATGGTTTTGGACTCAATCTTTCCCTCATTGGTTTGAATGGGAGTTTTTTCTAGTGAGTGGGTAGCCCAGTTGGACATCAGAGGTTTAATTCTCCAGTGCTTTGCAGCTAGTGTAGTTATTTACACTTGTGAATCATGAAATCAAGTTAACAAATATAATGCAAAATAAATAAAATTCTCAGCAATCCATGGATCAGAGTTAAGATCTTTGTCGTGGTGAGAGATGCATTTCTGTATATTTTTTTTAAAAAAAATTTAATATGTGGACAGTATAAAACTTAGCCTTATCTATTCATTTCCTTTTAAGTGCTTGGGTTTGTGATAATTACTTTGGCATTTGGTAACTTTAACTGTGTTTTTGAAAGGATTTTTGTTCTTTCAGGAATACAGATTAGGGGAGCCTCATTACATGACTGTGCACCGTAGATGTATGAATACAAAGTGTTCCATCTGTGCTTAAGAAAAACTACAATTCATTAATATTATTGTGCAATGAGAACCTATTCTTTCAGTGATATGTGATTGTAATGAGACTTTCTTATAAAACAAGTATGCAAGAGGGGAGAGTTAAGATTGTTGTGGGAACCTTGACTGTGAATATTCTGATCCTTGGTTAAAATTTCAGCCTTGTTACTGCATTAACAAGCCGCCTCTTTTTTTTTTTAACATATTCTATTTTAAATTATCAATATTCAACATATCTTCTTGAAAACAATGTGGGAACTATGTGTGACAGTATGGTTGTAGGCTAGTGATTTTCTCCTGAATTGCTCACTTACTTGCTGAAGGCTTAGGGAGCAAATTAGCATGAGGATATCATCTGCCACTAGGTTATCAAACAATTAAGTGTAAAAATCTATGAATGCTTTGTTAAGGATATATGCTTCAGGTTCCAGTTTTAACTTTTCGTCAGTTGTGTTGCATTTCCTTTGTTGCATGATTGGTATTTATATACCTGACAAGATTTGCAGTCTCAATTATCACTGAAGTAAACCTGGAGTTTTGGGTGCGTACTGAGAGGATTGGGCCCATAAATAGTAAATTCCTGCCTCTGTCACTGGCCTGCTGGGTGACTGTGGTCAAGTCACTTGATCTCTGTTTCAGTTTCCTCATTGATAATGTGCTACATCTTATATTTGCATTACATTTGTGGTAATCTGTTAGGAGTCAGAAAATGCTAATTAAAATTCTGTGAGCCTCTGTTCCTTTGAAGTCACTTAAAATGAGCAGAACTTTGCATGGGCATAGGGGCTGCAGCTCTGGCTGCAGTGCTGGGGCTTAAATGGGGAGTTCCATTTTAAATACACATACATCTAAACCCAGATTATCCAAAATTCACGTCTGGCTTCTGATTTCTTCTCTTTCTATCAGAACTTCTAAATGATTATCCAAAATTCTGATTATACAGAGAATGTGGATGTTTCCAAAGATATTTGGATAATGGGATTTTTTAAATGTGTATAAAATATATTTTATATATAAAATTTTTATTTGCAACAGTTAAGAATGGCTATGTTAGTCATTTATAACTAAGCTAGGAGTGAATTTTCCACTTAGACCAAATGAATGCCAGTTATGCCTTAATATCGCCCATGACATGATAAATTCTGGAAATATGTTTGTTTAATTTATCTCATGAGTTTTGCTTCCATATATGTTTGTCATATGTCTTAATTTTAACTTTCTATTGTTAGATGACCAAAGTCGTGTAAAACTGCAGAACACAGAGAATGACTATATCAATGCCAGTTTAGTAGTCATAGAAGAAGCCCAAAGAAACTATATTTTAACACAGGTAAGTAGTAACCAGGTATTAAATTGTTATAGGAGATTGAGAACATGGACATTATGGCATAGCACAGCCTTACATTCTGGGGATGATAATGAAGCCATCTTTGCTGCTCTACTCAGTCAGTAAATGAAACACATAGCCAATATGTCTGATCTGATTACAAGGATGTTCTTCTAATTTTTATAAGATATTTGCAGGGTAAGCATTATTTCATAGCAATCTATGTATTAAAGTTTTCAAACTTTTCTAAAACAATTTTCTTTTCAACAATTATGACCATATCCAAATGGTTACTTTATCTGTTGTCCTCTCTTCCTTTTGAACAAAAACACATACATGAATGGTATCAGTGTGAATGTTAGTAAAAATTGACAAAAAAATCCAGAGGAGAGTTTCTGGTTTCTTTGTTAACCTCTTCTCCTTTATTATTTTGATCCTCAGTGTGCTATAGTTGTCTTCATGCAGGTCATGTACAGACTTTCCATATTTCCACATAAGGTAAAATATTGTGTAACTTAAATGTATAGATGCAGCAGTGTCACTGAATTAATGAGCAAACTCGGATCTACTCAAGTAGTAGTGGTGGAAAGCTTGAGACTTACTATTGGTTCCCAAATAATAGACAACTTTCCTCTAATTTAACATATTCACGCTTTTGCCTTGTGTCCTTTGTAAATATAAATCCATTTTAACATCAAGAAATACATTATATAGCTTGAAAAAATTTCCCGATACTTAGTAGCTGGAAGATGAAACCTGTTAAACAGGAGGTTAGGGAAGTCTAACCAGGGAGGTCCAGAAGAAACATCTTGGTAACAAATCTGGATTCTCTTAGCACCCCAACTTCAAGAAAGGGGGAGGATACTGGAGTGCAGTGGTTGGAGGGTTTCCTTTTTCATGTCAAGTTCTGGCTGATAGCCATAGATCAGTTTTGAAGCAATAATTCCTTGTTGAGGGAAGGGAGAATTTTTATTTTCCTGACTGTCTGACTGTGGGAAGTCTGACTGTGGGAAAGTCTCTACTGCTTTATCTTCCCTTCCATCCTCCATTTTTGACGTCCTCATCTGTGTACAATTTCAGAATCTGTTTCTGCTACTTCTCAGTTTTTCTAAGTGAGAGCATCATGAAACTGATGGGAAATCCATGGGATACTTCACAGTTTAAGGGTGTGACAGGTTTCTGAACAGTAGCTATGAAACTGACTTAAGTCTTGTAAATTTCTTGCACATGGTGTTGCCAAACAGTATCAATAGTAGAGCTTTTGGACCTCTTGTGTCAGACTCAGGAAAACAATGGAGCATCAGTGTACATTCAGTTCACAGTGGAAGGCTTCTTGCAGCAATAAAAAATGTCTAGAAAACTTAATCTTTTTCTAAATGTATGATTTGAATTCTGCAGAAATGGCTTAGTCTCTCTCACATATTGGGGGGGGAGGGGGGGAAGCTTTCTTGTCATGACTGAGTGGATTTTTCAAGTCCTTATAATTTGAACCACTTTTACCTTTTGCTTAGTATGTAAATAATAGGCCTGAAAACAGCTTCTCCTTTTAAGTAAGATTGGCTTAAAAACACTTCTTCATAATGTGTTTTTTGTTGTTGTTTGTTGTTTTTTACTAGCGTCCAGCTGACATTTTGGATGGTGTTTTGCCAAATATGGAATCCTGGATTTTGTATATGAAGTGGGCTTTTAAACTACTGATCTACTGGATGCATAGATTCAGAGATGTCATTCACATTGTGTGCATATAATTGGAAAAAAGACTACTTTTATATACAAAATCCATGACAGTTATAAATAGGGCTGTGTGAAAAATCACTGTTTCACAGAGGGCAGGGAAATGTTGGAAATGCCCCTAAGCTGTGATCTTCTAAATATATATAATTTTTTTACAGGAAAATGTCTGTCAAAAAAAAAATCTTTAATACAAAACAATTAGCTTAGTTGACAGTGCTGTATGCATGCGGAAGAATAGACTTCTATGCATATTCATTCTGTGCTTGAACTTGACTAAATTTACTTGTAGAATTCAATACTTCACCATTTACACTATATCTTGCTAGTTCAGGATTTCTCCAACTTCATTGCACTGTGACTCCCTTCTGACAACAAAAATTACTACAAGACCCCAGGAAGAGAGACCGAAGCCTGAGGGGTGCTGAAGCTTGAGGGTTTCAGCCCTGGACAGTGGGGCTTGGACTTTAGCCTCAGCCCTGGGCCCCAACAGGTTTAATGACCACCCTGGGGACCCCATTAAAACATGGTCACAACCCACTTTGAGGTCCTGACCCACCGGTCGAGAACTGCTGTGCTAGTTATAAAACTTAATGATGTTGAAATACTTGAATGTTCACAGCTGTTTAAGTAATCTCGTTCCTGATTATGTCAAGTGATGGAATGCTGCAATAAAAAGGTGTTACATTTGAGAAACAAGTCTTCACCATTTAAAAAGCTAGCAAAAGAACTGCGGGATCCATCAGATTCTGCACTAGTAATGCCTGAAAGCATAATTCTCTCTGATACTGACATCCTATCCATAAAATATTTTTTTAACCACTGTCGTTGATGAGGAATATAGTGTATCTCTATTTATGTAAATTAACTTTCTGAAGCTGTTCATAAATTTATCACTTTAATTATGAATATGTCAGAATATTTTGTTGTAGGCTAGCTAATGGGAATGCCTCGCTGTTGCATTCCAAAAAACTCACTTAATATTGATATTCTGCATTTGTGCATAAGCTGTGTAATTGACTTATGTTTCCTGTCTTACACTGTTTTCTTTGAAGACAATTTTTCAGATATAATTGAATTATGATTCTTGTTTTGAGCACTACGTGAATGTTTTACCTCTCTCTCCTTACTCGCTCAGGGTCCACTTCCTAATACTTGTTGCCATTTTTGGCTAATGGTATGGCAACAAAAGACCAGAGCAGTTGTCATGCTAAACAGAATTGTTGAAAAAGAGTCAGTAAGTAATGGCTATTTAATACAACTTTTACATAAACAACATACTTTTAATGCTATCAAACCACACTTAATTGGGAAATCAAAGTTGTTTCTTAATCATTAGGAATGTCCTGTTGTGAAGAGCTAATGCATTTGTTGTTGCTGGAGGCTTAAATAACAATATAGGAACACTAATCTTGTTGGTTGTTTTATCACATTTGATTATTGTGACAACTGAGATACTATACTTAAAGTTGTTTCTGGTCCTGCTTGTAGAATTAGTGAAGTAGTTTGAAGGGATAAGTGAGAGTATTTACAGACTCTCTTCCAGTTGTACAGGGCTAGGATACCTTTATTAAATGAGGTAGTGGAGCTAAGAGGTGAAATTCATTTCAGTAAGAACAGTCTCCAGTAAGTACAGGTCTAGAAAGATGAAATTCCTTAGGTTGGTTCCAACATGAGATGTAAAAGGTAGGAAACTTAGCTTAAGTTTAACTCACTGAGACTTTTTTCTATTTTTCAAAATCTTCTAATAGTAGCAAAGTTTTGTTAATAGACCGCTGTTGATAATGAAAGCCTGGCTTCGTGCTACCAGCAGAAATAAATCTAATCTGTTTTCACTTCCTTACAAGTCGGTGAGAATTCAGAGTATATGAATCACTTGAGAGAGCACTTTTTTGCCAGCATGTGTGACTCATTACATATCTAGATATTAGCAGTAGTTCTTATCTATAAATGCAATCAAGTTGTGATCATTCAAAAATTTGTGGCTAGAAAAGTTTTTATGGCCCTATGTACTAGGCCTGGAGCTTTGGGATCCAGTTATGCAAGCAAAGGAAATGCAAAAGTCCCATTTACTTCTCACCTATCTGACTGAGTTTGATCTTGGTAAGCACTAAAGGATTCTGATAAATCATGCATGAATTTAAAAGTCTTGGGGATGATGCAGCACAATGGCAAGTGACATGTAACTTCTATAAATGTAAAGTAATGCATATTGTCAAAAATAATCTTTTTGTGGTTGGTGGGCACTGAACTTGCAGAATCCTCTGAAGGGTGAAATGTGTCATTGGAAGAGCTCAGTAAAGGTGTCTGTTGGTTGTAGAGATATTTAAAGCAAGTACGGTATTTGGGTGCATGTCAAGATGTATCCGAATTGGGAAAAGGGCAAGAGAAGGGTAGTGAATATGGCTGGAGCATTTAACACTACTTGCAAGTGATAAGAATGTAAAAACTAGGATTTTAACAGGACCTAACTCAAATTCCAAATTATGAGGGACATAGTTAAAAGCACGTAAATGTGTGTGTAATATTCACTTAGAACCAGCTATGCAAGCCCCTGAGTTTTACAAAGAATCCCAAACTGTGACAATACAGCCACAATTTATAAAGGAAAACACTGTTTTATGTAGTGTAAAGTAATCCTGTGGCATTCACTGCTACCAAGGATCAAGACAGTGTTGTGGATGGCTTGCTTGTTTGTTTTTTTGTTTTTGTTTGTCTTTCAAAAGGAGTGGATAACTTTATCTCAGCCTGTATAGTCTAAGCATTATTTATGAATGAACAGTTCTCATCCTTCAGAGCATAGACTCGCTATAGGGGTCAGAGAAGAACCTTCTCCATCCGTCTCCCCCATGCAAAATGTTGTCGAGTTGTGACTGTCTCTCCTTTCCTTTGAGGCATGTAGTAGTAGTAAGACCAGTGGCTTGCCCTAAAATAGCAAAGCCTATGAACCTGGTGTAATCATTTTACATCTGGACAAAGTGAGTGTAAAATGCTGCTAAATACAAATTTATATTTTGTTTGCACTGATGTAAATCACTGTGGGAAGTGCTCAGTAGTGGAGAATTGAGCCCTAAATTCTCTAATTCAGTAGTGCTTCAATTCTTTAGAAACATGTCCACAAATTAGACATTAATAACTTTCACAAATAAAATACCTTTTTTCTTTCTGTGTATCTTAATGGGTATAAAACTGTGTTAAATTCAGCTATACATGTGGCTAGTAAATGGATGCTGTATATCCTTGAAAAGAGAGTTTAACATATTTTAGCTTAATGACAGTGACCATTTATCTCCATATTCAGGGTGAAGGGAAAAGCTGTCGTCATAATGCATCCATATTCCCCCGCCCCATGTAGAATCTGTGATCCTGTAGATTTTATTTTTGTCACTTGTCTCAGTGGGCAAATATTTACTTACTTTTTTTAATTTAGGTAAAATGCGCACAGTACTGGCCAACAGAAGAAGAAGAAGTCATGATGTTCAAGGAAACGGGATTTTGTGTGAAGCTAGTATCAGAGGACATAAAATCCTATTATACAGTACATCTACTACAATTAGAAAACATCAATGTAAGCATTTTTCTCCATACATGTGTACCTCATATTCATAGAATTAAATCTATAATACGTATTGTTTGAAATATGTATAGCAAACTACCATTTCATGTTTAGACTAACTTTTGCATAAAAGATAATAATATTTATTTTGCTGTTAACATGTGCCAAAGACACAGTCATACATGTATCTGAATAAGTATGTGTGTGTAAATTAATAGGCCACTATTCAAAGTGCTGAAATCTTGAATCTTTTTAATTTCTCTAAATTGGAAATCAAAGTACCCCAACACCATGTTTAATTTTAATTGGCAATGACGGAGTAGCAGGCTTTTTAAGATTATAATTGGAACCTATTTTGGAGGTAATCTGGTCAGTGGCATTGGGGGAGAGAAGCTGGCAACATGGTCTGTTTCTTCAATGTCTTGTTTGTTCTGCAAACCATTCGCATTTTTGGTTATTGTTAATTAAATCTATGATGGCCATTAAAGAAGCTTTGACACAAGATACTTAGAAAGAATATGAATTTGAAACCTCCTCCATGAGCTTCTTCACATCAATATTCTACAGCTGGTCGTCATGTTGCCGGGCTCACTGAGTAAAAGTAAGATGAGGTAGAACTTTACACAGCTGTGCTCTCTTGACTTTCGTTTTCCCCATCAGCTGATCCCTTCTGGTTTTTTTTAATATTAGTGGCAGAGGTGAAGAAGGGAGGAATGGTGCCTGAAGAGCTGGGGTTGAGGAAATGAAGCCCTCCACGGCTTTTGGCAACTTGAGGCAGCAGTCTCCTCAAATACCATAGTTGTTTTGGGGCTTCTGTCTTCAGGGGCCTGGAGTAGACCATCCTGGTCTCCCTCTCTTTCCACTCCCAAGAGTTACTTCAAGCATTAGAGCTGGAGTAACTCCCACGAAGCATTTGGACTTGGGTTGGCTGATATTGTCCTGAGATTCAGATAGCGGGGAGTGCAGAAGTTATCAATTGCATAAGCTCTCCTATTCCCTCAGTTTGCTTCTCACTTCACTGCTGCTCATCATTTAAGACTTCGGGTTTTTTAGTCCTCTGAAGCAGCCCCCTATGTGCTCTAAATAGATCCTTGTATGTGAAGTAGGCTTATTTCACAAGAGTGGAATAAGGTAGTAAGGTGACTGTGCTATGTAAATGCCCTGGTCTTCTTACAAGCCTCCAGCGTATAAAATAACATTTTAACAGAAATCCTGTATACTTTCTACAAAACAATACTTAATAATAATTCACAAAAGAATTATTTCCAACTGTTGAAATTATTACTTTCCCCTCTAACCATCAAGCTTTTACATGGTGGCTACTAACCACTGATTGTATTTGATTCTACCTGTGATAAGTGTGCTATAAAATTATCAAGAATTTGGTCCTAAATGCGTGATGCTCACTTGCATCTTTTGCAGCTTATTCTAAATGTTATGCCACTAATTAATAACATACCAAATAAATTTGAGAAATGTGTGAGCTTTAGATCTGGAGTAAAAGAAGACCAAGAATACAACTTTATCTGAAGAGCCAACACACGCTGACGTTTCCATAAGATCTGGGAAAACTAGGATTACTGAATTTGTAAAATTCTTTCAAACTATTCAACAGTACATTACTTATGGTACAACAGCATATCTCTGCAGTGCATCACCAAAATATATATGAGTGAAGAATTCTAAAAAGGGATATTTTACAGTGGTTAGTGGAAAAATGAAAACTTCTGGATATACTTGTCTTTTGGGTTGAAGAGTGATTATCAGAAATGCATTTATCTGCAAAGTAGTATAAGGCATAGCATTTTACACCTTAATTCGTTTTTTCTGTTCCATGCAAATGTTCATAGTTGCCTTTGTGGTCAGTTTCATATAGTCTATGACTTTTGGAGAAGGGGAAGAGTGTTTGAAAAGATCCCAGCTAACAGTTAAATAAAATAATGCACCATGTGTTGCAGATGTTACACAATTTCCTCAATTTTGCTTAACACATGCAAATTTGCAAATCTTTTCAGAATCTGCAGATCGGATTCTTCCTTTTTACAAGGACTTCACTTGGGTGTCCTCCATTCCCTTCCCCCATTTTCCTTGATTATAGCTAAGGGTCCATGTTTGTCAGGGAGGTCATGGACTCTGCAGCAGCTGCTGTAGCTGACCCCAGGGCTGCCTGAGCAGCTGGCCTTTGGGCGGCCTTGGGGACAGCCACACTGGCCGCTGCTGGAGCGGCTCTGTAGCCAGCCACTCGCATGACCCCACAGCCAGCTGCACCGGCCACTGCTCTGGCTGGCCCCAGGGACCACCTGAGCAGCAGTCCTGGGGGCGGTGGGAGCAGCCACAGCTCAGGGGCTCTTGGCAGCGATCCCGGGGCAGCCAGAGCAGCAGCTGACCCTGGGGCTCACCACCTCGGCGGCAGCCAGAGCAGTCACTGGCCATCTGGGGCTTCCCTTCCCCCGCCAGCAGCCAGAGTAGCTGCTGGCCACTGGGGGCTTCCCTTCTGTCCTCCCACCCCCTGCAAGCCCAGAGAGGCAGCAGGCCCCCTGGGGTTTTCCCCTCCACAGCTGGTGCCCCAGGCTTCCCTCCCCCTCCAACACTCACCCCACCCTGAAGATTCAGTCGGGTATTTCTGGTATAAGTCATGGACAGGTGACGGGACATGATTTTTTGTTTTTTGCCTGTGACTTGTCCATGACTTCTACTAAAAATACCCATGATTAAATCTTAGCCTTAATTATAGATAGCACTGGTACTACCATCTCTATTAAAGTTGACTGATGCATTCCATTATAAGATCCTGTTTCCAGTTGCTTATAACTTAGCCAAAACTTAACTGTCTGAGCTGAAATTTTCCACACTGGGTGTTGTCTGCCTCAGGTTGAATTGTTTTGAAACCGTTAGCAAAAACAGTTCAGCTGTTTCCAAGAATTAAATTAGGAGGAAATGTTGTCCATAAATGTTTTTACTGAGAAGCTCTAGCAGCTCCATACTTTGAAGAAAAGGCTTGAAATGTTGTGGGGTGGCATTTGTGTCACAGACATGCCCTTTGTTGGTCTTGTGAAAAGCCACCCAAATTTGGCCAAGTTACAAGTCTTGGATAAATTTGTTGGCACGTTCAAAGTAGAGATGTGTGTGTTTGACAGCTAAATCCATAAGATTCCATCTGCACTGAAAATACTCATGCAGCCGTTCTTCCTGGCTGCTGTAGACAGTTGTGACACTGGGCAGCAGAACTGAGAGCAGGAAGACCCTCCTATGCTTCCCCTACTTGCACCCAGGGAGTGTGGAAAAAGGTACTGCCTAACTGCATCAAACTCAAGTGTAGAGGGTACAAGTGCTGAGGATGCTGGTAGCCACCTTTTTCAAAATGCAAAAATGGGACACATGCAGGAGCCTTGTCCCTTTCTGTGGCTTGCCCTTGTTCCTGTTCCCCCTGAGGCCTGGCAGGCCAGAAGCCGGAGCTGGGCAGTGGTAAGAGCAGCCCAAGGAGTCTGGGCTGCTGTGGGGAGCCCCAAACCCTCCACCTGTCCAAGAGCAGCCCAGGGCACATAGCCCAGGGCAGTTGGAGGATCAGGGCTCCCCACAGTGGCCTGGGCTCCGTGGGCTGCTCTTACTACTTCCCTGCTTTGGTTTCTTGCCTGGCTGGGGCCGGGTCTCAGGGGAAAGAGGGGGGGCAGGACCTCATGATGGCCGGGGTGCAGGGAGGGGGATAAGGCCCACCTCAGCCCCCACACCAGGAAGAGGCTGACACTGCCCCTGAGCCTCAGGCAGGCGCAGAGCGGTGCCACAGGGAATCTGGGACAAATACTGTCCTGGAGTCGTTCAGCCTGAGACCAGGACTCAGAATGTACATTTCAGGGTTGTCCCACCAAATTCAGGACAGGTGGTCACCCTAGATCAGTGGTATTCAAAGTGCAGGTCGCAAGCCAGTACTGGGTCGCGGAATGCAAGGCACTGGGTTGTGGCAGCTCTAGTCAGCACTGCCAACTGGGACCGTTTAAAAATCCCGTCGGCGGTGCTGCCCGGCTAAGGCAGGCTAGTCCCTACCTGTTCTGACACTGCGCTGTGCCCCAGAAGCAGCCCGCATCGGGGCTGGCTCCTGGGTGGGGGGGGGCATGGCACTCGGCGTGCTGCCTCTGCCCCGAGCTCCGGCTCCACATTCCCACTGGCCAGGGCGGTGCCTGCCGGTAGAGCTGGGTGGAGCTGCTTGCGTGCCTCCACCTAGAAGCTGGACCTTCTGCTGGCCGCTTCCAGGGCGCAGCGCAGTCCATGATGCCAAGACAAGCAGGAAGCCTGCCTTAGCACCCCTGCTATGCCACTGACCGGGAGTCACCCACTGTAAGCCTGTGCCCCAATCCCCTGCCCCAGCCCTGAGGCCCCCCCAAACCTTTAGCCTCTTCCTGCACCCTAAACCCCTCATCCTTGGCTCCACCCCAGAGCCTGCACCCCCAGCCCAAAGCCCTGACACCCTCCTGCACCCCAATCTCCTGCCCCAGCCCTAAGCCCCCCCAAACCCAGAACTCCTCCTGCACCCCAAAACCCTCATCCCCAGCTACAGCCCACACCCCAAAGCCCTCATTCCCAGTTCGGCTGGGTCACGGACATCAAATTTTCTTCGACTGGGTCACCAGAAAAAAAGTTTGAAATGCCTTGCCCTAGATGGTGGTTGATCGGAATAGGAATAGAGTGAGACAAGGAGACTGGATGTGGGAGAGGGGAGGAATTGGGACTTTTGGGCAAGAAGCTAGAGGTATAGGGAAGACTGGGACATGGGCCAGGGAGTGGGACTGAGATTGCGTGTGGAGCCTGGGTTTATTAAACAGGCTGGCTTGGTAAGGCGACTGGGACATAAATGTAATACTTCTGTGGGTGTGGATTTGAAATGGTGATATATTTTAAGTCAGTATGACAAAGAGGTTAATAAGGGACTTAAACCTCCAAAACCCTATACTATACTGATTTTACAGGGGAGACCATCATTTCTCAAATTGGGGGTCCTGACCCAAAAGGCCGTTGCA